TAATAATAATAATAATAATAGACATTTTTAAAATGTGCATACCAAAACTAAAAACAAAGCTTCCATCTACAATAAAAAACTGGAAGTAACCTAAGCTTTCAAATAGGTGAATGATTTAGTATATTAGAATTAATCAATACAAAGGAATAGTATGCAGCCATTAGCTGTGGTAAGTATGAAAAAGCATGGAGAATGGTTAAGATCTGTTTAATTAGCATATTCACAATTATTGTGACTATGAGAGATAGATAATGCATGAAAATAAAGTCTGGGGAAAGTGATTATACACTTAGTTAGACATTTCTTGAATCTTGTTATATTAACTTTCAATTTTTCTAAGAATGTGTAGTTAGAAGTCAATGGCTCTTAGGGATCACCTAACAAAAACCTACAAAATTATACATGAGGCACATAGTTTGGCCATGAGAAAGTGGCTCCACGAGAAAGTGGCTCCACGAGAAAGTGGCTCCCATAACTGCTCACAAGACTTCACAATGGCAGTGGAGTGTGGTTTCTGAGTCACATACTGTGGATGGTTCTCCTCTGTAATGGTGTATTTGATTGCTAACTTAGTTGTCTAAGGAGACAAAACAATAATTATGGCTTATTCTGCCTTTTAAGTTGGGGTACCCTGAATTAGGATTTCCCCCTTTGGTGCTGCTTAAATGAATACCAAGTGCCTAACAAAGTGAATCAAAGTACTGTACAAGGGAAGGTAGAAAACTCTTCTTCAAAAGGCCAAATTAACAATGTGTAATAGCACCGTTCAAGGGCCAGTTTGGTTTCCTTTCTCCCATTAAATGGTAAAATAGTGATGCCAAGACCCACATTCCAGACTCTCCAGGGTAACAGAGCCAAAGAAGGACTGCACAGAGAAACCTGAAAACAATCCAGTTTCACTCTTTACCTAGAGGAACTGCTCTCTCTTGCAGAGTACCAGCAGCAGCATCACTGTCACCAAACAGTGTCCCAGAATCTAGAGGGAAGGTTTACCTTTTAACAAAATAGAAACAAGCCACAAGAGAGACTGATAGCACAGTAAGCAGACTGGGCTTCCCTAGACTCTCTTAGGCAAATGTGCCCAGGAAGGCTTCTCCCTGTAAATGTGCCTTTGTTTGTTAAAGCCTTATGGCCTGCTAAGTAGAAACAAATACCCTGACTCAGAAGCAAGGAATTTGGAGTGTGTACAAGTGTGTGGATTCACAAACCTTAATAAGCATTAAGCACTCAGTGGCTGAGCTTACTGGGATTCACTGAATGGAATGAGGGGAAGTTGGTTTCATTAGCCAATAGGATGGCAAAGATAGGCTTCTTACCAAGCCGAAAGGGGGGAGAGGGGAGGAGAGGAGAGGAGAAGAGAGGGGAGGGAGGGAGGGAGGGAGGGAGTTATACTTTATTTCCATTGCTGTATAGCTTTTGGCATCTGATGACCCCTGTGACTTTGTTTCAAGTCTCAACTGCAACCAGCCAAATAACTCTGGTTTGAAACTAGAGGAGTAGAAATAGAGATGATCTTTGTGTTAGACATTTTGAGACTAGACTGAATCCTGCCTACCTCTAAAGCCAGTATCTACGTAAAATGCAAGGGAATCCAAACAGTTCCAACTCCCATAAACAGCACTGCTTTTAATCTGTTGCCTACAACATACCAATGAGAAAAATCATGGCATCGTGTCATAAACTGCTATGCAAATGATGCTATTTGTAAGTATTAACATAATTTAGTGCTTACAGTCATATTCTCATTTCTAATAATTCTCCCAGAATGTAGTCTTTCTCTGGACTCTTAGCCTGCAGGATAGTCTTTCATCAAGAAGCTGAAATTTTTAATAACCTGCCAGCATATGTTTTGTATGTGCCAGGCTAGGCTTGATGACATAACATCTTCATTATCAAAAGGAACAGGTCTACAAACTGTAATAGGGCATTAAAATGCGCCTGTGTTCATAAAGTAATGCTTTGATGTCTAAATGTGCACCGGTACAATGGTCTTCTGCAACAAAGGATTCTAATCCTAAAAACTCAGAAGCTACCCTCAGCGGAGACTACAGTTCACCGGCACTCTAAGTAGGGTTTCCCTTTGAAGACCAAAGAATGTTGACAGTGTGGTGGTGGGGGGGGACGGGGGACGGACGCGGGACACGGGATGGGACACGGGATTCAGAAATGCTTTATTTTTAGTTTCATCTTTGGCTCCTCACATACCTTGACTTACGGCTCAGCATAAGCCTCAACTATAACAGGACTTCTGAATAATTACTTTTTCCTATTAAGTTTAAAAAACAATTTAAATAGACTATTAATTATTTAAAGTTTCAAATTTAATAACATTAACAACAGTGCCAAATGTATTTGGTGACAATTTAAAATAACAGTTTTAAATAGTTGAAATTAAATACTGTACAGTAAGGTGTCTAACCACAATTCAGCCAAATGTCTGTATTGTAAATATTTTTGAAATTCAAAGTCAACACTGCAAATTTATCATAGTCTAGTGTCAGGGGAATTCTCTAGGAATTGTTGGTTTGAAATGCTGAGACCAGCAAACACTGTGTACACTAATGTTTCAAGTTTTTAAAATAAAAATGCTAGGCTTTTTCATGGTTTAATCTCAACAGCATTGCTTCAAAAAGATTTTTCTATATAATATGAAATAAAATTCAGTTCAAAGAGAACATAAGAGAAACCTCTATGGGCCTCAAAATTAAATACATTTTCTTTGTTTTATTTTTTTTCCAGAAGAGTAATACACTTTGCTGTCCTTTAAATAATATGTAAAGAGCTAGCTAGCCACGACAGGCTCTGCATTTAGTCCATTCACTGCTGGAAGGGGAAGAAAGGCAGAATGGGTCATGGAGAGAAGTGTTGCATCTGTCAAAGGGAACTCTCCCTCCTGACTGCTTCCAGATTTATTCATCAGCTCACTTTCCGAGGAATAATGTGGCTCCTGCCAGTGTGCCCCTCCCTCTCTATCACTTGTATCTTGATTCATAGACTTCCGTAGTGGGATGCTCAAAGCAGATGCAAATCACTTTGCACAGTCCACCGCTATGTATGCCAGTAGGGACGGAACCAGTTAAGGGAATTTGCCGCTCAATTTTCCTTTAAGTAGTAGGTCAGCCAAAACAAAGTCACAGGATTACAAGAAGCCAAGTCTCTGGATGCAAAACGGGACTGCTTTTAGATTCAAGGTTTAATTTAAACATTAAGCCATATAGAATTATTTAAGCAACTTTGGAACAGACTGATAGCCTGTATAATTCATCTCACCAACGTAAGTGGAAAGGTTTAAACATCTCCACTCATATCCTGAGACCTTGAACCTACTGCTCAGCTTTGCTGGGGGATTTTATGCAACATCTCACGGAGACGAGCAGTTACATACATTTCCTTGGAATGTCTTCAAGAACATGACTGCTGACAGAGTGCTATTATATATTAGCTTTCAGTGACAACCATTCACTAATAGAATTTCTCATAATAAAATACAGCTGGCTTAGTCACAACTGTTGGTAGAAGCATGTGATAGACCTACTTAGGGCTAATGCTGAGATTTGTAATGCTACCTGAGCATAATTAAAAAAAATAACTTCTTAATTATCATAATCAATGAAGAGATGAATGAACATTCCTAGGGTCCTTCCCCAAGTGATATTTAAAGTAACCCAATGAATCTATTCGTGTTGTACATAAGGTCTGAGGACTAGGAAAGACCCTTCTGATAGTAACAGAACTGAGTCTAGGAGAAAGAACCTTCATCTCCTAACTGTCCACAGACACCTTGGATAAGTCAGCACTGAACACTCACTTGTGCCCACTTCTTGGTCCAGTTTTCACAGCCGTATCTGTTACTCTCCTTTAGCACCCATTTGTAGCATTGTAGGTGTGAAGGAATGTCACAAAATGCTGTTCCATTTCCTCCAAATTCCATGTTCATTTTAAAGACCCAGCGTTGGATTTGCAGGTGATCAGTCACTAGCTGGCTCAGCTGTTCTATCATCTGTGGGGCGAAGGCACAGGGACATTTCTATCACACTGACTTGATTGTGGTACTTTAAATGTGTCTTTACTTTACATAGCCTGTTCATTAGGTTCTCCTCCACTCATTAAGACAAGTTCAAGAAGTTTCAAGTGATAAATATCTCATGTAAAGAAATCATTAACCAGGGCTGGAGAGATGGCTAAGAATACTGGTTGCAGAAGACCCTGGTTTGATTTCCAGCACCCACATCATGGCTAACAACCATCTGTAACTCCAGTCTATGGGAATTTGATGTTCTCTTCTGACCTCCTTGGGCATTACATGGCATGGGTGCACTTATACACACATAGGCGATACATTCATACACATAAAATAAAAATAGTAAATAAAATATTTTTAAAAGAAATCCTTAACCAAGGGGGCATGTTTAAAAGTTCAGTCACATTTTTAGGAGAAATTCCAAAATGATTATTCTGCTGACTTGGGAAGGAAACAAAAACTGTAAACAATCTTGAAATATCTGAAATTGAATCCTGGTATTGTTTTTTATTGATTCTTAACAAGAGTTTTTATACTTTCAAGATTATAAAGAAATATAGTCTTGAAAATCTTTATTATTAGGAGTGCCATTGAACTTCCAAATACTGTGACCTATAAAACATTTTTCCTCACTAACATACATGCAATGCATTTGTCTGGCCAAATGGCCAAGTTTACTATAAGTGTGACATGAAAAAAAATGTATTATGGAGCAAGACAATGGAGACAAAAACATTCATAGAAACAACTTCCTGGAATGAACAGCTATCTACTTTTAATATAAAACAAAACTCACTCAAGAATTGGCTTAGACATATGAAATTGAAAAGAATAAGTCTATGCTTTAATTCCAAAATGGTGATAACATTAATAGCTAACATTATGGAATACTCAGCAGTAACTAGGCCTTTGGCTTACAGTACCTTTCATGAAGTTTCCCACTTAGTATTACTATGATTTAGGTACTCTGAGTGGTTCCATTTAACATGTAAGTAGAGCCTAACTAACTTAAATAACGTCCCATGATCATAGAACATTGAGTGGCAGAGCAGTAATTCTCTCAAGTTGCTCTAACTCCAAGGCCTTCTCTCATTCCCCCTCCATGGGGTTTCCTATCCCAGCCTGCAGACAAGTGCAAAAGGGTGACATAGAGAAAGAAGTCAGAGGAGGAGCCAGAGAAATGGGTTGCTTTCCAGTCAATAAGCCATTTGGGTTGCATTTGGATCAGACAAAAGTCTGTTTATAGCAAATCTACTTAATTGTATATAAGAGTGTTCTAGTACAGCCTTGAAGAAAGCCAACTCATTGCTTCACAAAATGATTGGTCAGTACTTCCAAGAAGGTAACACAACACTAAGTATCATGTGTCTTGCAGGTGATCATGCTATTATTGTCAGTGACCTCCTGTACTTACAGACTCTATGATATTCTTATTCATTATTCTTTTGAATAATAAAGAATTCTTCTTTTGCCCAACAAATGAATTTTTATTTATTTTATTTTTAAAAATTAATTAACTAATTAATTGTTTTGGGTTTTTGAGACAGGGTCTCACTATGTAGCCCCCAGAGGGCCTGGAACTTTCTGTGTAGACCATGCCAGGCTGGCCAAACAATCTGCCTGCCTCTGCCTCCTGGGATTAAAGGCATGTACCACCACAGTTGATGGATTTTTATTTTTGTCTTTTAACTAAAGAGTATGAAAGAACTAAAGATTTATAATTCTGCTGAGGTCTGGAAATACAAGGTTAAAATGATTTTGTTTAAAGGCACAATATGTTACCTTAAACTGTGTTTACCCAGCAAATGATCTTGGGTATGCTACATGACATGGCAGTGTAGAAGAGATCTAAATAGCCACACTGGGGTCCCCAGAAACCTCATGCAGCTATGAAGGTGAAAATGGAACTGTCTCAGGTCCATAATTATCAAGTAGTATCTGTGGATACTTCTGTGTTTAAATGAAAAATGCTCTCGTCTACATGCCATATGGCAACGATGACAGTCAAAGAAGGCTTCTACTGTGTCTTCCAGAGCTGGCCCTTCTTCCTCAAATTTATTGAGAAGATGTATTCTACATTTTATCATATTTTGCTATATTATGACCACATGTTATAGAAGCAGAAATCATGCTTGGCTTCTTAATATCAGATAAAAATTGATTTTGCTTAAAAAAAGGTGTTCTAGTATAGCCTTTTAAAAGTTATATATTTAGATATATATTTGGAGATTTCAACTATTAACAGAATTATTATGTGTTTCCTCCAAATCCTCTTATTTGTTGTTTCTGAAACTCCTATAAATGGACATCTGTTGATGGATCCCCTACAGCAATGAAAGTGATCAATAGTATTGTAAAGACTGCACCACTAGAAAGAATTATGTGCTATCTTTAAGTGAAAATTGAACAGTGCTTTAAAATAGCATCGCCATTTTGATTATTTAACCAAAGCTGTCAATATTTTATATGGAGCACATGCCAGAGAGGGACTTGCTTAGTTATTTTATGGATCAAAACAGGAAATTCTCACTGTGCTCATGCTAGGTTTTTTTAAAAAAATCAGTCATAAACCGAATGTCTTTATGCCATTTCCAAACATTTATCATTTTCTGTTTGAGCCTATCTGTTTAAGAAATGTAATATTTTTTAGTTATGATTCATGTTATACTGGAAAAAAGCAGAAACAGAAAAATGACTAAGGTAAAAATTCAACTACCACTCAAGAATACTTATTAACCTAAGTTAAAATAATCGCAGCTTTCACCCACTTTAAGTTTACAATGCACATTGATAAAAAGTCAGTGTTATTGATTCATCACCATCTGCAGATTCAAAGCACTGATATACTCAGATTGATTAGGCAGAGCTGTCAGTCTCTGGAAAATTCTCAGTGGACCAGTGGAATACTTCAGATCTTGATGAGCTTAGATGATTATCTTCCAAATAAGCAGATTGGAACTCAGATATAAGTCAGTTTATTGCTGTAAGTCAAATAACATCCCTCAAATCTGGTGTGTCTATGAATAGGGTTTCAGCCCTACTTCTGACTACTAACACTAGACAGAGTTTGTACTGCATTAAATGTGCTCACACCTTCAACAATAATTAACATAAAGTTCAAGAATATTTCAAAGCAAAAATTGTCTGCTATCTCATCAGGGAAGATGAAACTAAGACTCAATATAAATATCACACATTTGTTTTAAAGTCATAAAGGTTGTAGTGTATGTGTATGTGTTAAATTGTATTATTTAAAATTATATCTCACTTGTATTAAGTCTGCAAGCCCAAAATTCTATCAGGAAGTAGAACTGAACAATGTACTTAGTTATCTTCAAATTCCAGTGGAGATGAATGGCAATGAAAGCCTCTATCACTCTGCTACTAACATTTCTTGGGCTTTTCCCAGTTTGTGCTTCCTCTATAAGCCCAAGTATCAACCAAGAACACTCAAGCAAGACCAAGACACTTCAGGGCAACTTGATGAACTCATAGTATTTTCAAAACAGTCTTTCAAAACAGTATGATTTGTTCAAAGGTTTGATTTTGGTGTCTGGCTATGATATGCAGAGCATCCTGACTGGCAACTGAGCAGAAGGAAGTCACTAAATTTGTCCCTCATGAGCCACCACACAGTGTGTGGTTCTTCAATACTAAGAAGAGGGTAAGAGAGAATTTATGATCAGTTCTGAGGATCAGTCAAGAGATAGTACGGAAACAGAGGTTAGGAAATGTTATAGCCATTGTCTCTTAGGTTTTTTTGTTGTTGTTTTGTTTTTTTTATTATGTAGACAGAAGGCAGTTAAATGGGAGAACACCTGCCAGAGCTAAGTCAGAAAGAAAACATTTCTAGTGTGTTCTCCAAGTGTTCCTGGGCCCCAATATTTGCTGCAAGAAAGCAGTACCACAGACCCAGTCCAAGGAAAAACCAAACGTGGTTTTGATCCTGGGGCCATTTCACTTCCTCTTTCTGGGCTCTGTCCCCTACTTTCTTCAGGGCCTTTCCTAAGATGCCAAAGTATTTTTCTATGGTGCCAAGGATGTGTGCAGCATTCTGCAATCTCACCCAGCACTCAACAGAGCTTTCCAAACCTGCTTCTTCCAGCCAAATTTGACTCTCATATTTTTTAAGGTCCTATATTAAATGACTCTAGTGGATATGATGATATTAAGGTATTAAATACTGATGGTAGATTAGTCCAACTGGCAAATAATATTTTTTGGAGACAAGTTCTCACTACGCATCCCTGGCTGGCTTAGAACTTCCTATGTGAAGCAGATTGGCTTCAAACTCACAGAGATGTGCCTGCCTTTGACTCCAGAGTGCTGGCATTAAAGGCATATGCCACCATGCCCAGGCCCAATGGTAAATAATTTTAACAGCATTTGATAACTTAAATCAAATAGTAAGAACTTTTGAAATTACAGTAATTTCTACAAGACCAACAGAAAGTTATTTTAAAACATGAAGGCCTCCAGGCCCAGTGGTATGGGCTTGTAATCCTAGCTACTTGGGAGACTGAGGTAAGAGGATTACAAATTCAAGGCCAGTCTGGATAATTTAGTGAAACCATGTCTCAAAATGTTAAAAGAGAGCTGAGGATATATGCTTAGTAGTAGGGTACTTACCTACTATGTAAGAAGCCCCGGGCTCAACTGACAGTATTGAAAGAAAAAGAAAGAAAGAAAGAAAGAAAGAAAGAAAGAAAGAAAGAAAAGAAAGAGAGAAGGAAGGAAGGAAGGAAGGAAGGAAGGAAGGAAGGAAGGAAGGAAGGAAGGAAGGGAAAGAAGGAAGGCAGGCTAATGTAGATCCCCTCAGCTCAAGCATTCACATGGTCTTCATGGGTAGAGCTGGCTCCAGGTTACAAAGTCAAGAGGTTATGAGATATTTGAACAGAGCCACCCCACATACCTGTTGATAAGTATAGATGTCATATATTCCAGGGGGCACTGGCACATTGGCACTGTCAAAGATTCGT